ACCCTCCGCGCGCCCGGAAACGGCCCCGGCTCCCCCCGCTCCGCGTCTCCTCCCGCCCCGCGTGTGACACGCTCCGCGCGCCAAACTCGTTCAGTGTCTCAGCCAGAGCCGCGTGATCCGGTCTGTGGACCGCAGGAACAGGCGGGGATGGGACGGGGCGAGAAGCTCTGGGAATACTTGCGTCTCTGTGACTCTGTTACATCTACACAGAGCTCCGCGCTGAATTTTTCTAGGAGTGGGACCGCGGCTGCCCCACAGTGCACAGGGCACAGTTTGGGGCTGAGGGTCTGGGCGCCGGGGGGGGGGGGAATTCTTCAATTTCCACCCTTACCCTGTCTCCCCCTTTTTGGGTTCCCCGGCTATGAAATACGATCTTTGTCGTTGAGTTCTTGAAAGAAGGCGGAAATGTTTTTCTGGAATTAGAGCTGAGGTTTTCCAAAGATAGCAATAAAAAGAGTGTCAGGGGGTAGCCGAGTTAGTCGGCACAAGATAAACTTAAAAAACAACAAATGGTCTGGTAGCACTTTATAGACTAACAAAACATGTAGGTGGCATCATGAGCTTTCGTGGGCACGGCCGATTTCTTCAGCTCATCATACCATCTACATGTTTTTTTCGTCTTTACAGTGCTACCAGACAATTTGTTGTTTTTAAGTTTATAATGAAAAACGTGTCAGTCTCATTTATGGGAAGAATTGTAAACCAGAAAACTTCTTCCTCTGTGCCCTCAGACCATGACAATCATAAAACTCTTTGCAGCGTCAACGCGTATTTACACTTTTCACCGGCAGGGGGCGATCCTTTGCCATTAATTTAGCATACAGCCTGGACAGACCCAGTTCCTTTGGCCTTGCGTTATCTTAATACAAATAATCTAACGGTTTCCTTTCAGAAAACTCAATCAGAACTGAGCTTTTTCTCTTATATGTGGATAGACATACGTCTTTATCAGAGTCAAAACTGCAGCTGTATCAAACAGCACTCACCTATACATTAGTATTTAACTGTATATTTCCCCCTGCTTTGCCATGTTTCACTGCAATTAAGCATTTGAATACCATTATTTCATGTGACATTTTCACTCACATCGTTTTACTGTACCACGAAGAAAGGATCTTTCTTTCTTTCTTTCTTTCTTTCTTTCTTTCTTTCTTTCTTTCTTTCAATGAACAGAAAACGGAATCATGAAATCCCCCATTCTGGTCTTGAAAACATCCCCTGTCAAGGAGTTCCACAGGTTGCCTGTGCCCGTTGAGTGAAGAGATCCTGCCTTTTGTTTGTTTTAAACCTGCTACTTATTAATTTCAAGGGGAGGCCTGTAGTTCTTGCGTAACGAAAAGGAATAAAAAAAGCTGCTGCTTCTTTCTTGCTTCACACCAGAGATGGTTTTATAGGCCTCTCTCGTGTCCCCCTTCAGTCGATTCTTTTCGAAGATGAAAACTCCTCATAATTGGGCGCTTTGGCGCGACCAGGAAGGAGCTATCCGACAGCAGCACCCGCCGGGGGGAGGGAAGAGGAGGGCGAGTTTTTGTGCGGCGCTGCTACGCGGCTCAGTCACTGTGCGCTCTGCAGTGCGCAGAAATACACCGCGGTGTCCGCCAGTTCCAGCGTCCTAATGGTTAACGCTGTGGAGTTGTCATCGGCCTGGGACGTGAACCTGCCCTTGGCGAACTCTGCCGTGTCGCTGAGCTGGCTGACGGACCCGGCTCCTCTCCAGAGCAGGTACTGCGGGGCCCGGTTCGGGTACTGCCGGTACCAGTAGAGATAGACCCCGCCAGTATAGTCCGTGCGGTACCGGCAGGAGAGTGTCACCGAGGCTCCTTCTGCTCCAGGCACTTGGAGTTCGCGGGGCTCGACCGAGTCCCCCAGCCCAGCCCCTGCAAGAAGAGAGTCTCCGGTAAGGACAGATCCCAGCTGCGCCTGGCCCTGGGCGCGGAGCGAGGCGCACTGAGGGGAGAAAGGAACCTGCGGATCGAGGCTGCTCGCTGGAAAGGGAATCGGACCCGGTTGGGTTTAGAAGTAGGGGCAGGGCTCGGGTTCACGGCTCAGGTCGCAATTCGCGCTCGCCGCTAGGAGGAGGATTAGCGGCCCCGGTCGGGGTCGGGGGCAGAGTGAAGGTGAGAAGGCGGGTGAGGAAAAGAACGAGCCTCAGGGGCCATTGCAGCCCGACCCCGAACAGCCCAAAGCTCCCGCCGCGCTCACCCAGGAGATGGAACAGCCAAAGGGTGAGCGCCCAGCGCGTCCGCATGGTGTCGCCGCCCGCACCAGCTCTGAGCCTCTCGGAGCCGGCTGCGAAGCGGGACCCACTCCACGTCTCTGCAGGCTAGCGGAGAGGCGGCGCGGGGGGAGTGACTCCGCACAGGTTCCGGAAACAGGCTGGATTCGGGTAAATCTGGGCTGGGCTTGTAGGAAGAGGTTTGCGATGGAGGCTCTGGTCTGGGGGAAGGGAAGGGGAGTGTTTCAATTTCCACCGTCCTCCCTGACTTCTGCTCGTTGGGTTCCCCGGCTGTGACATGCGATCTCCGTGCCCCACACGCGAGGCGTTAATACAGCCGCACTGAGCCCCTGGACAATGGTTTTGCGTTTCGGGACAGGACGCGGAAACGTCTCTCGGGACTTAGAGCTGAGTTTTCCCAAAGATAATAATGAAAAAAGTGTCCGTCCCATTTCTGGGAAGAATTGTGCACTAGGGCACCTCTCTTCCTGTGCCCTCTTCTTCAGCCCTCAGAATACCTTCACGGTGTCCCTTATCTGGCCTTCCTAATTGGGCAGGAAGTGTTGTCGCTCCCTGGGTGGGCGGGGCTCAAATCCACAATCCTAGGATTCCTTGCTCAATGCCCCTTTCCCTTGGACAATCCAGAACCCACCCCACCTCGCTCCCTTGAGGGCCTCCCTTATCCTGCCTTCCTAATGAGGCAACCCTCCACTAGGACCGGTGGGGCAGGCCAAGGTAGTCTGGTTACATCCTATGGCAGCCTTTGCTATTGCTCTCAACAGGAGTCTGGCTCCATTACTGCTTCTGAAGGGGCAAGAAGTTCCCTGTAGGGAAGTGAATGCGTAACTGGTTGGCTGGTGGAGGCTGGAGCAGCTCCCTCCCTTCTGTGAGTAAGGGGCTGCTCCAGCCCTGTGAGTGGCCCACCAGAATCTGCTCCAGAGAAGACACTGAAGCAGTCCATGGCTCATTGGCCCACCACGGACCGAGGCTTCTCCAGGTTGGCTAGTGCAGGCCGATGTGTATTTACACTTTTCACCGGCAGGGGGCTCCTTTGCCATTACTTTAGCTCACACCCCGCACAGAGCCGGTTCCTTTCACCTTCTGTTATGTTAACACAAAGGATCTAATGGTCTCCTTGTACAAAAATCGGTCAGAACTGAGTTTTTTCTCTTAAATGTGGATAGCCATATGTCTCAATCAGAGTCAAAACTGTAGGTCTTTCACACAGCATTTGCCTATACCACCCTATGGAACTGTATATTTCCCCCCACGTTTTGCCACGTTTCACTGAAAATTACTATTTTAATACCATTATTTTATGTATCCATTTGTACTCATGTTGTTTTCCTGTACCAGGAAGTAAGGATATTTCTTCCTTTCGTTCTTTCTTTCTTGGAATAAACAGAAAAGGGAATAATTAAATCCCCCATTCTGGTCTTCAAAACATCCTCTGGCAAGGAGTTCCACGGGTTGTCCGTTACCGTTGTGTGAAGAGATCCTGCCTTTTGTTTCTTTTAAACCCGTGGCTTATTAATTTCGTGGGGAGGCCTCTAGTTCTTGCCTGATGAAAAGGACTAAATAAAGCTTCTTTTTTTTACTTTCTCCACACCAGACATGGTTTTATAGGCCTCTTTCCTGTCCCTCCTCCTTAGTCAAGTCTTGTCCAGACTGAAAACTCCGTTTTCTTATTTTCTCTTCATAATTCATCGACTTGGTGCGACCAGGAAGGAGGCATCCCACAGCAGAAACCGTCGGGGGGAGGAGAGAGAAGGCGGGTTTTTGCGCGGCGCTGCTACGCGACTCAGTCACTGTGCGCGCTGCAGGGCGCAGAAATACACCGCGGTGTCCGCCAGCTCCAGCTCAGTGATGGTTAACGCTGTGGCGTTGTCATCTGCCTGGGACGCGAATCTGCTCTGGGCGAACTCTGCCGTGTCGCTGAGCTGGCTGTAGGTCCTGGCTCCTCGCCAGAGCAGGTACTGCGGGGCCCCGTTCGGGTACTGCCGGTACCAGTAGAGATACACGTAGCGGCCCCCGCCAGCCGAGCCCGACACGGCGGGGTCCTTGGAGTGGATGGAGTCGCCCAGCGCGGAACCTGCAACGGGCCCACAGGGTGGTGAACAGATGAGGTAAATTGCCCGGTCGGGCGCCCCTCTTTCCCCTGCTCGGTACCCGCCTGCGCCCATCCCCTTGCAGAACCAATCTCCCCTCCTCCGACCAGCCCAGTTACCTAGCAGCTGGGACACCCAAAGGCTGAGAATGAACCGCGGCTCCATCGTCTCTTCTCAGACTAGCGAGATTCAACCTCCCTCCTGTGCGAGCGGCGGCACCTGGAGGAAATTCACAGGAAGCCGAGGGAGGAGTTTGAGGGTCCCCCCCCCCAGATGCAGGAAACGCGAAGGGGGGAGGAGGTTGGGCATCAGGGACAGGGTCTGATCTAGGGTCCGAATCCGGCTGTGCCGCAGAAGGTGTGTGTATGACTAGGGTTAATCCTTTGTGCCTCAGTTTCCTTAGGTGCACAAGATAGAGGGGCGTTCTAATTTCTACGGGGCTCTTGATATTTCTTGAGGCCCCCTCCCCTGGGGTCATAGGGATGGAGAAGGCGTGTGAGTTCAATTCCCAAAAATATCTGGGGGGTAACCACAAGGAAAATGCAGCGCGGTGAGGCCCGAATCTGTGACCTTCCTTGGAAACACGCAGCAGGACCCTCGAAAGAATGAGTCTTTTACATTATTTGCCTCTTGCCTCTGCTGCGTTTGCCCTCAGCCACAGTGTTGGGGAAGATCACTAGAGCATAGAGGGGTTCCCAGTGACAACCTGCTTTATATAGCCACCAGCAGGTGGCCATGTGCCATGGCCCTGGGCCCACTTTGGTTTTGCAGTCACTGGTTGCTGTGTTGGGCTGTGGGTGACTCCTACTGGCCCATGCTGCTCTGCAGAGACTGTGTGTGTGAGTGAGTGTGTGTGTGCGCGCGCGCGTCTCTCTCTCTCTCTCTTTGTTCCTGAGGGGAGAGAGGGGGCAGTCTTGGGTAGGCAGACATAGATACAATAGTCTGAGTCTGTATACCCCTGTCCCAAGAGCTCTAAGGCTGCCTGCCCTGACTCCTATGTCCCCATGGAATTCCGGCTGGGCTGTGTCTCTGAGAAGGAATAAACCCTCCCTAGTCTACTGGCTGGAGGAGTCACATCTTGCTACGACAGGGATGCAGGGCCGGGTCGCCACACGCTGTCACAGGGTTACAGCCGAGGGGAAGGGTTAACTATCCACTGGTGTTTGTGGCTCAACGGGAATTGGGTGTCTAGAGCCCTTGGGCTTCAACGAAACTCCCGCCTTGTTACCTAGGAGCAGAAATACACACACGAGGAGAAGGAAATACTGGTGCTTCGTGTTTTCTTCTAGCGACGCAGGTTCGAGTCCCCAGCCGGGGAGCAGCGCCGGGGGGCGGATTCACCGGAAAACGCAGGGGGAGGAGTGGGGCGGGGGAGATGCAGGAAACACAGCGGGTAGGTGGCAGCCCGAAGCTCCCAGGTCCCGGTGAAAGGGGGCGGGAGGCGCTTCTGTTCCTCAGGCGGAGGACGCCAGGGGGCGGGTGGGTTTTTGTACAGGGCTCCCACCCAGGCGCCTCAGGGTGGCTCTCCCAGAGCGCGCAGAAATTCGCGGCCACGTCGCCC